CGCAAATATTGCAAAAAGGATTAATATATCCTCATTGTGAACGTTTAAGACAAATAGCAACACTTAAAACAACTTCCGAACTGGAAAAACTAATGTGGCAAGGTGCAGAAAGGAGTGCCCGGGCGGGATTCGATCCCCAGACTCCCGGGTGAGAGTCATACGCTCTAACCAGTCAGCATAGGGACATCTCCTTAGCCCAGTAGCCAGGGCGCATCATCAATCGGGACACTGTGGATGCTAACCACACTGCCACATCTTCCTCCCTCTTTCCACAAGCACGTCCTCGTGCTTCCGCGCAGGGTGCCACAAACACTGCCACACTAATATCCGCGATAAACATCTGTTTAAGTACCGGAAGAGGTTATCTTTGCTTTCTGAATGTCCATATTGCTAGATATGCCGAGTTTTAGGGCGAAATCCTGGGGAATTTTGTCTAGAAATGCAATTACCTAACCGTGCGCGATCCCGCGGTGGCTAATCATTTTTTGGCAGCGAGTCAATTTATGGCACAACACCGGCTCGGGTTTCTCCTCCTCCTCCCTCTTTTCTTCTCCAACCTGTCGCTGGGCTGAGGCTCCATCACTTCCTAAATTGATCTTACTTGAACCTTCACTACCAAACAACTGTGAGATTTTAACACATGTGCCAGCATCAGCCTGAAGGGCCAGTTTCTTTTTTAGTCGAATTTTCTCCGCTCCTCCTTTCCGTTTTTTGTTCTCCATTTTGTAAAGCTCGTCTGTCTGTTTACTGAGATTCACAAACAACTGGCGGGTGCATCAGACCTCTGGCTATTGGTCCAGCCCAGAGTGTATTATTACCAATTGGCCAATCCACCAACTTTTACGAGGCGTCGCGTGGGGCGGCGCGGGCAAGTTGTCCGCAACAACTAGAGGCCAGGAAAAAAAAAAAAAAAAAAAAAACAGACACCGGCCCATAAAAGATGAAAGGGTCGGCCCAGCGGGCATTTGCCCGCTATGCCCTATGGTCAGTCCAGCGCTGCCAACAGGGTTTATGAGTGACTCCAGGATACTGGTCGCTGAGTCCAGGCCTCCTTCGCTGCCTCGGTTTGACGGTCTGTGTCCATAAATAGCGTCCACCACATCGTACCACTTCCATGTACTTCGCCCATTCCCACTACGGCCGTTGCTGTCCTTAACTTTTCTGTAGTGGGCTTTTATTTTTTTCAGCTTAGCACGACACTGCACGGAGGTGCGCTGGAATCCTTCAGCTGCCATGCGCTGAGAAACTTCTTTGAAGACTTTCTCATTTCTTATCATCCCATCCAGCTCGGCCTGAATGTTGCTATCTCCGATGATGGTGAGGAACGTTTGAAGCTCCGCATTGGACCAAAAGCTACTACTTGCAGGCATTTTCACACACAAGAAGTACAGCCAAACAAACACTGGAACTCGACTCACTTCTTTTTCCATCCCCTGGGATTGTCGCGGGTAGTTACGTAATTTCTCCCCCAATCAGAGGACTCTGGACCTTTTACGCTTTGGCTCCGCCCAGACCAAAAATCTCTGGACCCACAATAGAAGGGGTCCCGCTCTGGCCCGCTACTGGACCGGTTCGGGTAGTTTCCTGGACTGGTTTAAACAATCGAAACAGAATATTTAGTGACCCGATCCTTCCCATTCCATGCCAGTTTGGTCGGTGGAAAAGGCCTATTTGTGTTCCTCTTGTGTCCCCTGGTCTTCAGCCCTCCAGATATTCCCTCTCAGGTCCTGTGTTCCTTCAGTCTCCCCACCATTATTTCCATAGGTCTATTACTCCAGGTGTGTGTGTGTGTGTGTGTGTGTTTATGTCCTCCTCCAGCTGTGTGTGTGTGTGTTTATGTCCTCCTCCAGCTGTGTGTGTGTGTGTGTGTGTGTGTGTGTGTGTGTGTGTGTGTGTGTGTGTGTGTGTGTGTGTTTATGTCCTCCTCCAGCTGTGTGTGTGTGTGTGGTTATGTCCTCCTCCAGCTGTGTGTGTGTGTGTGGTTATGTCCTCCTCCAGCTGTGTGTGTGTGTGTTTATGTCCTCCTCCAGCTGTGTGTGTGTGTGTGTGTGTGTGTGTGTGTGTGTGTGTGTGTGTGTGTGTGTGTGTGTGTGTGTGTGTGGTGTGTGTGTGTGTGTGTGTGTGTGTGTGTGTGTGTGTGTGTGTGTGTGTGTGTGTGTGTGTGTGTGTGTGTGTGTGTGTGTGTGTGTGTGTGTGTGTGTGTCCTTTCCCAGTCAGGTCGGGTGTCCTCTCCTGCTCCTCCTCCGTGATTAGTTATCACTTTCACCTGGTTCTCTCCCCTCACACCTGCAGCTCATCATCCTCCCATTATGCCCCAGTGTATTTAAGCCCTGTCCTGTCTCGGTGTCTTGTCGGTCCATTGTTGTTTGTTAGCATTGTTTTAGTGCTCAAAGTGAGTTTTGTCTCGTCCCCAGACTTTGTGCTCTAGGTGAGCTTTTGGTTCAAAGTCTCAGGTTTTTGTGCTCCATTGGAGTTTTTTCGGTGTCCTGGATCTCAGGATTTTTGGATTTATTGGCTCGCTGCCATTTGGATTTACATTTTGTTTCATCCTACAAATAAACGGATTATTTCTTTATATCAACTACTGCCTCGTGTCATCTGGGGTTCCTGCATTTTGGGTTCTAATCTCCTCCCAACCCTTCATCGTGACAATCGTGTCCAAGTCCATACTTATGAGAGCACCATGTGAGCACCTGTGTGTGTACACGTGCTTGTTTACGTAAGGATTCTCTATAGGAGCATCCAATAGAGAGTGTGAGGGGCCACAGATCTGCCCCCAAAGATGTGTAGGAGATGGAGGGAGCTCCAAGTCTCAGAGATCCAGGAGCTATCCCAGAGCACAGGAACCCCAAGAAGACCGCGACCAGAAAAGCCCCTGGCCCCCTCGAGAGGCACAGAGGATCGCCCCGGGGGGCCACAACCAGCAGCCGGCAGAGTCCCGAGAGATATCGGCAGCAAGCCCACAGGCCCGCCCGCAGCCTCCCACCCCCCAGCCGGCCGAGCCCGGGACCCAGCAACCCGGGACTTAGGGGCGACCAGCCCTGCCGGGGACCCAGCAGAGCCCAGGGACCCAGACCCCACCAGACAGCCACCAGGATTGATCAGGTGGACGCCCAAAATCTTGAACTCCCTGACCCGGGAACCACGACCCAGACAGACCAAGGAACCGCACTCCACACCAGGTGTGGCAGGGGGAGGGGGGACAAAGATCTATATCATCAAGAGAGGTTCCAGGAGAGGGGAGGACCCAAAGGCCCCACCTGACATATACAGTCATACACAAACACAGTCACACACTCCCTCCCCCATGCTCACACATGCACATACAACCCAAGACTTACAAAAATGCACGCCGGACACCCACTCATGCTCCCCATACACACCCTATTCACTCTGGTCCCGGTACTGCTGCACATGGGGTACAACCATCACCGGTTACCAGAGTTCGACCCTTTCTGCTGGGGTGCTGATGAGAGGGCTCCCCCACCCAACGCTGAGCACAGCAACCTACCACCCCAGACCCCAACCAGACGGCCAGATCTCCCTCCTAGCCTCCAGCCCAAGGAAGCCTAGCAACAACAGAGGTGTGCGGACCCATAGTCTCCCTCCGCCTGCTCCAATATAGTGTTAGTGCGTGTTGATGAGGTGTTTTCGTGGCTGTGGTGAGCTGGCAGTGCGGGCATTTTCTGGCCTATGCCAGCTGATGCCACCACACCAGCCCCCTTTCACCCTCAGCCCTCGGTGTCTAAGTGCGGTTTAAAATTGGAAGTGGGCACCCGGGATGAGGCTGAAATATCCCCCTGCCAAATGCCGTTGAATGTGCTCACTCCCAAGGCCCTAAGTGTGTGTTTGTGTGGAATGTCGTCAGTGGAAGTGTATAAGGTGCAAATAAAATTGGGGGGCAGGTTGCCACAGGAATGCAGAAATGGGGTCCCGCACACCCGCACCCCTGACTTGTCCACCCCCCAAGGTCCTATGTGCATGTTTGTGTGATGATGTGAGGGAGCAGGAGGAGAAAAATGTGTGGGGATGGGGAGGAAAGGCTGGTTGGTCTAAGCCCTCCAGGGAGCCAGCTCCCCCACTGGCCCCAATGAGCACCTCTGTTGCCAAAATTTCACCCAGGGCATGGAGACCCCGGCCCATCTTGCCAGGGCCCAAAGTAACAGCATTACAGAGCCTCACTGAGTCCGAGGGCACCAACCCAGCCCCACCCCAGCAGAATATCTATGCCCATCCCTGCATTTGCACAACTTCCAGAATATATAAGACATAGGACATCCAGGTAAGGTTGGGCCCTCCCCCTCCTGGACATCCCCCTCCCCTGTGACGGAACAGCAGAGGAGCCAAGGTCTACCCGAGGCCCCTGAGCCCAGGCCAGGCACTACAGCATGTTCCTGCCTTCTTCCTGGCAGCATACTTGTCAGGACCCGACCCCCAAGGCCCCGCCCAGATCCCCACACGGGGCCGGCCACCCCCATACCCCAAGCCCCCAGGCCCCCACCGAAACCCGCTCAGGGGTAATGCAGCTGCTAGGCAGCGACCCATGGCCACCGCCAAGACCCCCAAGGGGCCCCACTCACAACCACCAGTAATCCAACCGCCCGCACCCCACCCCCACCCCCCTGAGGCAACCCAAGCACCTCAGGAACATTTCTACACGCCTGTCCTAGATGGTCAACACCACACCATGTGTTAAACCGTTCCTACACACAGATCTGTTTGTAAGAACGGCTGATGAATGAGGGCCTTGTTTGTTTTCCTGAAGGCATCACCTAGCAACAGCCTGATCAGTGACATGTTTCAGAGCATCTTCTAAACCTCCTAGTCCTAACCCACGTCTCACACCTGAAGAAGCTTCTCAGATGAGTCAGGAAAGGTCTTGAAGACAAGAAGAAAAGTCCCGTAGTTTTCGACGAAACTCTAAAGATTGTCATGTCCTGGATGACGGAGAACGTACACAACAAGCGTCTGGTGTGACCGCTCTTCTCTTCCTCCAACAGGTGACCAAGAAGAACCTTCATGGCTAAAGTGGCACCTTTAGTCCTGACGAGCAGATCTGGGCTAATGCCCCCCACCATTGTTCTACTGGACATGGGGGAGGAGCCAGGAGACAACAGGTGAGTCATATTTTACCACAGTCACAGGTAACATGTAGGTTAGACTCTGATTTAACCGTCTACTCACCCTCAATTCTGGTTTTTGTTCAAGGTTCTCTCAGAATTCAGGTCCAGGAGTTCTGTTCAACGTTAACAACAGCAACAACAACGAAGAGGAGTGAGAATCACTCACACACACACACACACACACACCCACACACACACACCCAGCAGGTTGCATCGAGTCACTGAGTAGTGTCAGAGTCATTACAGCAATCCTCGTGCTAAGCAAGCATGCAGCGACAGTGGAGAGGAAAACACCCGCCTATAGAACATTAACCAAATGACATTTGTTCATTTGTCTGATTTTGGTTCTCACTGTCTCCAGGGAGGAAAAGAAGAAAAAGAAGAAAGAAAAGAAAGCCAAAAAAGAAAAGAAGGAGTGAGTTTTGTTTTTGTAATTAGAGGAAAACTAAATATTTCTTGATTGTAACACAGCTGGAGTGCTGCCAAGGTGGTGAGGACCTTTAATGTTGTGTTTTACTCAGGAAAGAAAAACTGGAGAAAAAGGAGAGGAAGGAGAAAAAACAGAAGGAGAAGGAAGAAAAAGAGAAGGAGAAAGAAAAACTGGAGAGAGAAAAGAAGGCAAAGGAGGAGGCGTAGGTTCATCCGTTGTGTTTTTATTCCTCAGATCAAAATGAACTTCACCTACAGGTGAATGTAAACTTTAAGGCTTAAAATCAGCCTTTTTGTTTCAGAGCAAAGGAGATCACGGTGTTTGATCCAGCAGGGAACAACTACTACCACTGGCTCCTCATCATCACCATTCCTGTCATGTACAACTGGACTCTGATTATAGCCAGGTACACGATACACACCTGTGGTTAAAGTCAGGTGGATACTACACACCTCTGATTATAGCCAGGTACACGATACACACCTGTGGTTAAAATCAGGTACACAATACACACCTGTGGTTATAGTCAGGTACACAATACACACCTCTGGTTATAGTCAGGTACACAATACACACCTCTGGTTATAGTCAGGTACACAATACACACCTCTGGTTATAGTCAGGTACACAATACACACCTCTGGTTATAGTCAGGTACACGATACACACCTGTGGTTATAGTCAGGTACACAATACACACCTCTGGGAATAGTCAGGTACACAATACACACCTGTGGTTATAGTCAGGTACACAATACACACCTCTGGTTATAGTCAGATACACGATACACACCTGTGGTTAAAGTCAGGTGGATACTACACACCTCTGGTTATAGTCGGGTACACAATACACACCTCTGGTTATAGTCAGGTACACAATACACACCTCTGGTTATAGTCAGGTACACAATACACACCTGTGGTTATAGCCAGGTACAAAATACACACCTGTGGTTATAGCCAGGTACACAATACACACCTGTGGTTATAGTCAGGTGGATACTACACACCTCTGGGTATAGTCAGGTACACAATACACACCTGTGGTTATAGTCAGGTACACGAAACACACCTCTGGTTATAGTCAGGTACACAATACACACCTCTGGTTATAGTCAGGTGCACAATACACACCTGTGGTTATTGTCAGGTACACAATACACACCTCTGGTTATAGTCAGGTGGATACTACACACCTCTGGTTATAGTTAGGTGGATACCACACACCTCTGGTTATAGTAAGGTACACAATACACACCTCTGGTTATAGTAAGGTACACAATACACACCTGTGGTTATAGTCAGGTACACAATACACACCTGTGGTTATAGTCAGGTACACAATACACATCTGTGGTTATAGTCAGGTACACAATACACACCTCTGGTTATAGCCAGGTACACAATACACACCTCTGGTTATAGTAAGGTACACAATACACACCTGTGGTTATAGTCAGGTACACAATACACACCTGTGGTTATGGTCAGGCACACAATACACACCTCTGGGTATAGCCAGGTACATGATACACACCTCTGGGTATAGTCAGGTATGCAATACACATCTCTGGGTATAGCCAGGTACACGATGCACACCTCTGGTTATAGTCAGGTACACAATACACACCTCTGGTTATAGTCAGGTACACAATACACACCTCTAGTTATAGTCAGGTATGCAATACACACCTCTGGGTATAGTCAGGTACACAATACACACCTCTGGTTATAGTCAGGTACACAATACACACCTGTGGTTATAGTCAGGTAAACAATACACACCTCGGGGTATAGTCAGGTATGCAATACACATCTCTGGGTATAGCCAGGTACACGATGCACACCTCTGGTTATAGTCAGGTACACAATACACACCTCTGGTTATAGTCAGGTACACAATACACACCTCTAGTTATAGTCAGGTATGCAATACACACCTCGGGGTATAGTCAGGTATGCAATACACATCTCTGGGTATAGCCAGGTACACGATGCACACCTCTGGGTATAGTCAGGTACACAATACACACCTCTGGTTATAGTCAGGTACACAATACACACCTGTGGTTATAGTCAGGTACACAATACACACCTGTGATTATAGTCAGGTACACGATACACGCCTGTGGTTATAGTCAGGTACACAATACACACCTGTGGGTATAGTCAGGTATGCAATACACTCCTCTGGGTATAGCCAGGTACACAATACACACCTCTGGTTATAGTCAGGTACACAATACAAACCTCTGGTTAAAGTCAGGTACACAATACACACCTCTGGTTATAGTCAGGTACACAATACACACCTGTGGTTATAGTCAGGTACACGATACACACCTGTGGTTATAGTCAGGTACACAATACACACCTGTGGTTATAGTCAGGTACACGATACACACCTGTGGTTATAGTCAGGTACACAATACACACCTGTGGGTATAGTCAGGTATGCAATACACGCCTCTGGGTATAGCCAGGTACACAATACACACCTGTGGTTATAGTCAGGTACACAATACACACCTGTGGTTATAGTCAGGTACACGATACACACCTGTGGTTATAGTCAGGTACAAAATACATACCTCTGGTTATAGTCAGGTACTTAATACAGACCTGTGGTTATTGTCGGGTACACGATACACACCTGTGGTTATAGCCAGGTGGATACTACACACCTCTGGTTATAGTCATGTGGCTACCACACACCTATGGTTATAGTAAGGTACACAATACACACCTCTGATTATAGCCAGGTACACAATACACACCTCTGGATATAGTCAGGTACACGATACACACCTGTGGTTATAGTCAGGTTCATTATACACACCTCTGGTTATAGTCAGGTACACAAAACACACCTGTGGTTATTGTCAAGTACGTAATACACATCTCTGGTTATAGCCAGGTACACGATACACACGCCTGGTTATAGTTAGGTACACAATACACACCTCTAGTTATAGTCAGGTACACGATACACACCTGTGGTTATAGTCAGGTACACAATACACACCTCTGGGTATAGTGAGGTACACAATACACACCTCTGGTTATAGTCAGGTACACAATACACACCTTTGGTTATAGTCAGGTACACAATACACACCTGTGGTTATAGTCAGGTACACAATACACACCTCTGGGTATAGTGAGGTACACAATACACACCTCTGGTTATAGTTAGGTACACGATACACACCTGTGGTTATAGTCAGGTACACAATACATACCTCTGGTTATAGTCAGGTGCACAACACACACCTCTGGTTATAGTCAGGTACACAATACACAGCTGTGGTTATTGTCAGGTACACGATACACACCTGTGGCTATAGTCAGGGGGACACTACACATGTCTGGTTATAGTCAGGTGGATACCACACACCTCTGGTTATAGTCAGGTACACGATACACACCTGTGGTTATAGTCAGGTACACAATACACACCTGTGGGTATAGTCAGGTACACAATACACACCTCTGGATATAGTCAGGTACACAATACACACCTCTGGATATAGTCAGGTACACGATACACACCTGTGGTTATAGACAGGTTCATGATACACACCTCTGGTTATAGTCAGGTACACAAAACACACCTCTGGTTATAGCCAGGTACACAATACACACCTCTTGTTATAGTCAGGTACACGATACACACCTGTGGTTATAGTCAGGTACACAATACACACCTGTGGGTATAGTCAGGTACACAATACACACCTCTGGATATAGTCAGGTACACAATACACACCTCTGGATATAGTCAGGTACACGATACACACCTGTGGTTATAGACAGGTTCATGATACACACCTCTGGTTATAGTCAGGTACACAAAACACACCTCTGGTTATAGCCAGGTACACAATACACACCTCTTGTTATAGTCAGGTACACGATACACACCTGTGGTTATAATCAGGTACACAATACACACCTCTGGGAATAGTCAGGTACACAATACAATGTGTGTGTGTGTGTGTGTGTGTGTGTGTGTGTGTGTGTGTGTGTGTGTGTGTGTGTGTGTGTGTGTGTGTGTGTTCTTGCATGTGTGTTTATGTGTTTCAGAGCATGCTTTGAGGAGCTGCAGACAGATTATCTTTTCCTATGGTTCTTCCTGGACTTCCTGTCAGATACCATTTATCTTCTTGACATGATCTTCAGAACCAGGACTGGTCAGTGGACCTACCAGTAGAACACATTCCTGTAAACTAACCCAACATACATTGATGACTTTATTCTGATGTGTTTGAAGGTTACCTGGAACAGGGTTTACTAGTGAAGGATGAACTGAAGCTACAAGAGCGCTATATGAACACCTCTCAGTTCAAACTGGACTTGATCTCCATGATTCCCACTGATGTGCTCTACTTGTTTCTTGGTACCACTTACCCTGAGATCCGCCTAAATAAACTCCTCAGATTCAACAGGTACTCACAACCAATCAATAATATCCATCATTAATCCTTCTCAGTGGCCTACTGGGGGTTAAACAAACAAATAGTGCCCCAGTGCAGCCACAGCTGCTGCTCACCAATATCAGTACCTACACCAGTACCTACATTATAACCAATATCAGTACCTACACCAGTACCTACATTATAACCAATATCAGTACCTACACCAGTACCTACATTATAACCAATATCAGAACCTACATCAGTACCTACATTATAACCAATATCAGTACCTACATCATTAATCCTTCTCAGTGGCCTACTGGGGGTTAAACAAACAAATAGTGCCCCAGTGCAGCCACAGCTGATGCTCACCAATATCAGTAACTCCACCAGTACCTACATTATAACCAATATCAGTACCTACACCAGTACCTACATTATAACCAATATCAGAACCTACATCTGTACCTACATTATAACCAATATCAGTACCTACACCAGTACCTACATTATAACCAATATCAGTACCTACATCTGTACCTACATTATAACCAATATCAGTACCTACATCTGTACCTACATTATAACCAATATCAGTACCTACATCAGTACCTTCATTATAACCAGTATCAGTACCTACATCAGTACCTACATCAGTACCTACATTATAACCAATATCAGTACCTACATTATAACCAATATCAGTACCTACACCAGTACCTACATTATAACCAATATCAGTACCTACATCAGTACCGACATTATAACCAATATCAGTACCTACATTATAACCAATATCAGTACCTACATTATAACCAATATCAGTACCTACATCAGTACCGACATTATAACCAATATCAGTACCTACATTATAACCAATATCAGTACCTACATCAGTACCGACATTATAACCAATATCAGTACCTACATTATAACCAATATCAGTACCTACACCAGTACCTACATTATAACCAATATCAGTACCTACATCAGTACCTACATTATAACCAATATCAGTACCTACACCAGTACCTACATTATAACCAATATCAGTACCTACATCAGTACCTTCATTATAACCAGTATCAGTACCTACATCAGTACCTACATTATAACCAATATCAGTACCTACATCAGTACCTTCATTATAACCAGTATCAGTACCTACATCAGTACCTACATTATAACCAATATCAGTACCTACATCAGTACCTACATTATAACCAATATCAGTACCTACATTATAACCAATATCAGTACCTACACCAGTACCAACATTATAACCAATATCAGTACCTACACCAGTACCAACATTATAACCAATATCAGTACCTACATCAGTACCTTCATTATAACCAATATCAGTACCTACATCAGTACCTACGTTATAACCAATATCAGTACCTACATCAGTACCTACATTCCTACATTATAACCAATATCAGTACCTACACCAGTACCTACGTTATAACCAATATCAGTACCTACATCTGTACCTACATTATAACCAATATCAGTACCTACATCAGTACCTACGTTATAACCAATATCAGTACCTACATCAGTACCTACATTATAACCAATATCAGTACCTACACCAGTACCTACATTATAACCAATATCAGTACCTACACCAGTACCTACATTATAACCAATATCAGTACCTACATCAGTACCTACATTATAACCAATATCAGTACCTACATCAGTACCTACGTTATAACCAATATCAGTACCTACATCAGTACCTACATTATAACCAATATCAGTACCTACATCAGTACCTACGTTATAACCAATATCAGTACCTACATCAGTACCTACATTATAACCAATATCAGTACCTACATCAGTACCTACATTATAACCAATATCAGTACCTACATCAGTACCTACGTTATAACCAATATCAGTACCTACATCAGTACCTACATTATAACCAATATCAGTACCTACATCAGTACCTACATTATAACCAATATCAGTACCTACATCAGTACCTACGTTATAACCAATATCAGTACCTACATCAGTACCTACATTATAACCAATATCAGTACCTACATCAGTACCTACATTATAACCAATATCAGTACCTACATCAGTACCTACATTATAACCAATATCAGTACCTACATCAGTACCTACGTTATAACCAATATCAGTACCTACATCAGTACCTACATTATAACCAATATCAGTACCTACATCAGTACCTACATTATAACCAATATCAGTACCTACATCAGTACCTACATTATAACCAATATCAGTACCTACATCAGTACCTACGTTATAACCAATATCAGTACCTACACCAGTACCAACATTATAACCAATATCAGTACCTACATCAGTACCTACCTTATAACCAATATCAGTACCTACACCAGTACCAACATTATAACCAATATCAGTACCTACACCAGTACCTACATTATAACCAATATCAGTACCTACACCAGTACCTACATTATAACCAATATCAGTACCTACATCAGTACCTACATTATAACCAATATCAGTACCTACATCAGTACCTACATTATAACCAATATCAGTACCTACATCAGTACCTACATTATAACCAGTATCAGTACCTACACCAGTACCAACATTATAACCAATATCAGTACCTACATCAGTACCTACATTATAACCAATATCAGTACCTACATCAGTACCTACATTATAACCAATATCAGTACCTACACCAGTACCTACATTATAACCAATATCAGTACCTACACCAGTACCAACATTATAACCAATATCAGTACCTACACCAGTACCTACATTATAACCAATATCAGTACCTACACCAGTACCAACATTATAACCAATATCAGTACCTACATCAGTACCTACGTTATAACCAATATCAGTACCTACATCAGTACCTACATTATAACCAGTATCAGTACCTACATCAGTACCTACATTATAACCAATATCAGTACCTACATCAGTACCTACATCAGTACCTACATCAGTACCAACATTATAACCAGTATCAGTACCTACACCAGTACCTCCATTATAACCAGTATCAGGGCTGAAAGAGGTGACGCTGCACAACACTGGTGCCACTGGTCCTTCTAAACCACCACCAGCAGGCAAGAAGGGTGAAGTGCCTTGCCCAAGGAAACAATGACTGCAACAGACTAAGTGGGCCAAGAACGAGGAACCCTCCGGTTACAGGGCTGGTGTGGGGCCATTTTGAAGTTTTCTTTCCTGGACTGTGAAAATGTTTTTGCTCATTTTTCTTTAAGCATGAATCTTTGTTTCAGGATGATGGAGTTCTTCCAGCGGACAGAGACCAGGACGAACTATCCCAATGCCCTTCGTATCTCCAACCTTGTCATGTACATCATCATCATCATCCACTGGAATGCTTGCCTGTACTACTCCTTCTCCAAGGCCATTGGTGGGTTAAAGATTTTAATATGAGACCGGTCGGTGTCACATCTCAGTGTGCTGTTCTTCTTTGGCCCGGTTCCACACCGTTTCCAGCAGTTACAGTTATCAGGATGCTGCACCTTTTAAGGCTGCTGCACACGAGAGCAAACGGCCTTGAATGGCCATGAGCACAGCAGTTACCTGGCTGTGTGCGCCTGATTTTCACTATAGTTTCTGCCTCACGTTGGTAAAAACTCACCGTGTGCGCACCACGTGAGCTGCTGGCTGCTCTCGTGACCAGCAGGCTTCACGATTCCTGCTTCAGTGTGGTTCGAAGCAAACAAAGCCAGGTGGGCTTTGCTAGGGGGTGGAGTAACTGCTTGCTCAAGAGTGTTCTGCCTTCCTGCCTGCAGCCTTTTCCAGGTGATCCGCTTTCATGAGTCGATCACAAGTCACCGGCTGAGCAGAATGTTCAATTTAACTCAGTTCAGTTCATTTATGAAGCGCCAAATCATGACCAGAGGCGTGTCAAGGACCTGCACACAGTAAACATTACAATACAGGTCAGGTCATTAAGCCACTCAGTAAAAAGTTTCCTATATAAGCAACCCAGCAGGTCGCATCGAGTCACTGACTAGTGTCAGAGTCTTTACAGCAGCCCCACATCGACACCATCGTTGTGGTGTTTTTGTATCACACAAGCACCACCCGGTGCTACTTTCTGAACTTTGGGGTTTTGCCCAGCATGATGAACTGGTGTTTCTCACTTGTAATGGACTATCATCTAACTTGTAAAGAGTCAAACTGCTCTGTTCAAAAGGTTCTAGTGAGAAAAGGCCATCATTGTGTAACTTGTGCCAGTGCCCTGGTCCTCCAGTTATTCATGTCCCTGTGCCGTGGTCCTCTAAGACTCTACACATCACCAGCGTGGTTGCATATGCATCTAAGCATCTGAGTCGAGCGATGGCAATGTTCGAGCTAATACCTTAACAAGAGTGGGAGCCTTTATCCTAGTTTACATGTCAGCTAGAAATGTTAATGATTGTCTGAAGAGCATTTGACTCCTCAGTGGTTAGTGCCAGCCTTCTTCCGTTTGTGTCTGTACTCTTCCAGTTAGCTCGCAGTAACACGCGACACCTGCAAGGGTCAGGCAGGTTAAAGCAGGAAATGCACGATGAGCGAAGGAATGGGCGACAACGCTGCAGCACAGCACACTTGGTACGCGCTGGACTGTTTGATAGTGTGACGCGTCAGATTTACGCAGGCTTGTGGCGATGAAATGATCAGCCTCGTCACTTCTGGGGGTGGGTGGGGGTGGGGTGGGGGTGGGGGGGCTGGGCCGGACACAGCTTGACTAAACTGGAATGTCGTTTGCAGTCAGAGAAATGTGACTATCTGGTTACCTTAGCTCGTTTAGGAGTCCCGTTTGGTTCCACTTCTGCCGGACTAAGGCGTATACATGGACTTTAAAAGCCCCACTTCAGCCGGTCTAAGGCGTATACATGGACTTTAAAAGCCCCACTTCAGCCGGTCTAAGGCGTATACATGGACTTTAAAAGCCCCACTTCAGCCGGTCTAAGGCGTATACATGGACTTTAAAAGCCCCACTTCAGCCGGTCTAAGGCGTATACATGGACTTTAAAAGCCCCACTTCAGTTGGACACAGGTAATAATTAGACACGTGTCCCTGTGTCCAGGTTCTCCAAGTCAGTAACACGTCCTTGTGTCTTTACCCTCTAAGACTGTAGCACATCCCTGTGACCTGCTCCTCTAACGATGTAACGTGTCCTTGTGCCCCGATCTTCCAGGTTTTGGTGCAGACAGGTTTGTGTATCCCGACCCAGCAGACCCAGAGTTTGGTCGTCTGGTGAGGAAATACGCCTACAGCATGTACTGGTCCACTCTGACCCTGACCACCATCGGAGAAACGCCACCCCCCGTGGAGAACTCGGAGTACTTCTTTGTTGTTACAGACTTCCTGGTGGGTGTGGCTTAGTGGTGTCCTCTCCAGGTTTCACACAGTTAAACTAACTTGGGAGACCGTGATGTTCCTCCTCCAGGTGGGGGTGCTGATTTTTGCCACCATTGTCGGTAACGTCGGTTCCATGATCACCAACATGAACGCCGCCCGAGCCGACTTCCAGGCTCGGATCGATGCCATCAAACAGTACATGAGCTTCAGAAAGGTCGGCGTGCTGTCTCTGGTGGCAGGATGAATAAAGTTCATACAAACCAGAACCATGCTTGTTAACACCTGACCTGGACCCCATGACCTTTCTACAGGTAACAAAGGATCTGGAGAAGCGGGTCATCAAGTGGTTCGACTTCCTCTGGACCAATAAGAAAGCGGTGGATGAGAGGGAGGTTCTGAAGTTCCTTCCAGACAAACTGAGAGCTGAGATTGCCATCAACGTGCACCTGGACACCCTGAAGAAGGTCCAGGCTTACCCTGACCCCTCAGATTAACGTGACGTGAACTGCTCCGTCAGGTCTTCTGCTCTGGTCCTGCAGGTTCGGATCTTTGCCGACTGCGAGGCCGGTCTGCTGGTGGAGCTGGTGCTGAAGCTACAGCCACAGGTCTTCAGTCCAGGAGACTACATCTGTAAGAAGGGAGACATCGGCAGAGAGATGTACATCATCAAGGAGGGGAAGTTAGCCGTCGTCGCTGACGACGGCGTCACGCAGTTCGTAGTTCTCAGTGAGGGGAGCTACTTCGGAGAAATCAGCATCCTGGCTATCAAAGGTAGGAGGCAGGCTGGTGGATCTCATCTGTAGCCATGGCAACGGCTTGTCTGCTAGGAGACAGCTGTGTTTAAAATCTGTTGGGTATAAACATGAGCCTGGGGTAGAGCAGCTCCTTCTCATCGGTACGGGTCTGTTGAGGTGGTGTCCTGGTCTCCTGTCTCTGGAGACACTGGAGCTGGCCCAGAACCCTCTGGAGGGATCAGACATCCATACACAGGAGTACCGTCATGAATCAGAGCAGCATTTAGGACACGCAGGATGGTGGGCCTCCAGGTTCAGGACCAGACACCCCAGAGCAGGAGAGACCAGGTTTAAGGTCTTACAAGCTACTGGGTTGACTGGAACCAGAACTTCATGTTCTCTGGGTCTCCAACAGGCAGCAAGGCAGGAAACAGACGCACGGCCAACATCAGGAGCATCGGGTACTCCGACCTGTTCTGCTTGTCCAAAGACGACCTGATGGAGGCGCTGACGGAGTATCCTGACGCCAAAGCTCTGCTGGAGGAGAAGGGGAGGCAGATTCTGATGAAGGATGGACTCCTGGACCTGGAGGTGAGTCTCAGTAACCCAACACCCGGCCCACTCACGTAAAAACCATAACACGTCCTGTCCTCCAGGTGGCAGCGCAGGGCCCAGACCCAAAGGAGATGGAGGAGAAGGTGGACCGGATGACGAGTTCTCTGGACTCCCTGCAGACCCAGTACGCCCGGCTGCTGGCAGAGCACGAAGCCACTAACAGCAAACTCAAACACAGAGTGACCCGACTGGAGAGGAAGCTGGCCCCGCCTCCTCTGCCCAGTGATGCTCCACCCCCTCCAACACCAGAGATCCAGGCCACCAAAGAAGAGAAGAAATAGGAAGTAGAGGACCAGGAAGACGAGGCTTTTCTTCCAGAACTTTCTTCATCTTTGTGTCATTTGTAAAAACTTCATGAGACTCAGATTATCTCCGGCTGGTTCCGTCAGAAACACGAGAACCAAGCTCACCACAACACCGGTGTTCTGTGGAAGGCTGTCACCATCAGTTCCAGTCAGGAGGTCTGACCTGAAGCAGCTGAGAACGGGTTTCAGGCTCCAGAACCAGGTCAGCACCTGGTGGAAAAGGGTTTAGTTTTGACTTAACAGGATTTAAATATTTATTACAGATTAGAATTATTTCACCAACATTTAGTTTCTCATCGATCTTCTCTCATCTCTTAGAGCTAAAATCTTCTGGTCTTCTAGAGTGAGTGGACCAGTTTGGACCTTAGGGTTCCTTACCCTGTTCTGGGTCAGGTGCAACAGATCTGGTCTCCAGAAGAGCGTCAAACCTGTTTTCCATATGATTAATAAGGTTCATGTATAAAGAGGTCCTGGTTCTGATCTTCCTCTGAGCAGCACCAGAAGATTCTGGGTACGTATCAGCTCCAGCAGTTTGTTGAGACTAGAGTGGCTTCATTTAACCCGGACCTGTCATTTGGGATGATGTTCTCTCCGAGACGTGGAACCGTCTACACTGAGTCAATCCGGCGAATCAGCCGGCGGAGGAAACAGAGTTAGCAAAACCCTTGATGCCCAAAGATTCAAGTTATGTTGCTGCATTTGGAACTCAGTGGTGAAGAAATGCATCAGAGCCAGAAGGTCCTCGTGGTCCTGTTAGGATGCTAACCATGGTGGATCATCAACGAGGTGCTTCTGGTTTAACTCACAGCAAAAGATCAGCTGATTCAGTCTGCGGTGTAGAAAATGTTCCATTAGCAAAGAGCAGACCTTCTGCTGCAACTTAACCCCTTCTATCAGGGTTCAGACGTCCTGGTGCAACCGAGACCTCCAACTGCAGCAGCTCAGACCTCCAACCGCAGCAGCTCAGACCTCCAACTGCAGCAGCTTAGACCTCCTACTGCAGCAGCTCAGACCTCCAACTGCAGCAGCTTAGACCTCCTACTGCAGCAGCTTAGACCTCCTACTGCAGCAGCTTAGACCTCCTACTGCAGCAGCTTAGACCTCCTACTGCAGCAGCTTAGACCTCCTACTGCAGCAGCTTAGACCTCCTACTGCAGCAGCTTAGACCTCCTACTGCAGCAGCTTAGACCTCCTACTGCAGCTGTTCAGACCTGCAGAATCAAACTCTGACTCTGCAGTGGACTCTCTCTCTCAGCAGAGGTCAACCCCAGAGTGAGCTTTACTTCACCTACTTCAGACCTAAACTCGCCCACAGAAACCAAACCTTCTGGGCTTTAACTGACGTGTTCAAAGGCGTTCAGCAAAGATCCGGTCCAAGAGCTGAAATAAAGAGATTTTCTAACTAATGCACCACCTGCTTCTGCGCTTTATTCAGTTTTATCACCTTCCCATCCAGTGCTGAGAATGTTTTTGCCTACTTGTGTTTTCTCATTTATTTACCCCCCCCCCCCCCCCCCCCCCACACACACACACCCTCCCTGAACGTACCAGAGCTTTTACTCACACATAAACCATAACTCCTCACAACAAGACACACATAACGTAGAAGAGCAGTAGGAACACTCTCCTGCTAAAACAACCAGGAAGTGAGGAAGCCACCCTAATCTGTCGGTTTAACCCAAACAACTGAACATTAATAACTTTCCAGCATTTTTACCAGAGAGACAAAACCACTTCCAATAAAATAACAGAGGAAAGTAGGTGACAGCCTGGTTGTTTTCCAGCAGATTTCTGAACCCTGGAACAAAAAACTCAGTCATCTAGAGAGTTACCGCTGATCTAAAGTCTGCTAGAATGTTTAATTAGTGAAGATCCTAAAGACTAAATCCGTTCCTACGGGATAAACAACATTTATCTGGAGAATCCTAAAGACTAAATCCGTCTCTACGGGATGAATAACATTTATCTGGAGAATCTTAAAGACTAAATCCGTCTCTACGGGATGAATAACATTTATCTGGAGAATCCTAAAGAGTAAATCCGTCTCTACGGGATGAATAACATTTATCTGGAGAATCCTAAAGACTAAATCCGTCTCTACGGGATAAATAACATTTATCTGGAGAATCCTAAAGACTAAATCCGTCTCTACGGGATGAATAACATTTATCTGGAGAATCCTAAAGACTAAATCCGTCTCTACGGGATGAATAACATTTATCTGGAGAATCCTAAAGACTAAATCCGTCTCTACGGGATGAATAACATTTATCTGGAGAATCCTAAAGACTAAATCCGTCTCTACGGGATAAATAACATTTATCTGGAGAATCCTAAAGACTAAATCCGTCTCTACGGGATGAATAACATTTATCTGGAGAATCCTAAAGACTAAATCCGTCTCTACGGGATGAATAACATTTATCTGGAGAATCCTAAAGACTAAATCCGTCTCTACGGGATGAATAACATTTATCTGGAGAATCCTAAAGACTAAATCCGTCTCTACGGGATAAATAACATTTATCTGGAGAATCCTAAAGACTAAATCCGTCTCTACGGGATGAATAACATTTATCTGGAGAATCCTAAAGACTAAATCCGTCTCTACGGGATAAATAACATTTATCTGGAGAATCCTAAAGACTAAATCCGTCTCTACGGGATGAATAACATTTATCTGGAGAATCCTAAAGACTAAATCCGTCTCTACGGGATGAATAACATTTATCTGGAGAATCCTAAAGACTAAATCCGTCTCTACGGGATAAATAACATTTATCTGGAGAATCCTAAAGACTAAATCCGTCTCTACGGGATGAATAACATTTATCTGGAGAATCCTAAAGAGTAAATCCGTCTCTACGGGATGAATAACATTTATCTGGAGAATCCTAAAGACTAAATCCGTCTCTACGGGATAAATAACATTTATCTGGAGAATCCTAAAGACTAAATCCGTCTCTACGGGATGAATAACATTTATCTGGAGAATCCTAAAGACTAAATCCGTCTCTACGGGATGAATAACATTTATCTGGAGAATCCTAAAGACTAAATCCGTCTCTACGGGATGAATAACATTTATCTGGAGAATCCTAAAGACTAAATCCGTCTCTACGGGATGAATAACATTTATCTGGAGAATCCTAAAGACTAAATCCGTCTCTACGGGATAAATAACATTTATCTGGAGAATCCTAAAGACTAAATCCGTCTCTACGGGATGAATAACATTTATCTGGAGAATCCTAAAGACTAAATCCGTCTCTACGGGATGAATAACATTTATCTGGAGAATCCTAAAGACTAAATCCGTCTCTACGGGATGAATAACATTTATCTGGAGAATCCTAAAGACTAAATCCGTCTCTACGGGATAAATAACATTTATCTGGAGAATCCTAAAGACTAAATCCGTCTCTACGGGATGAATAACATTTATCTGGAGAATCCTAAAGACTAAATCCGTCTCTACGGGATAAATAACATTTATCTGGAGAATCCTAAAGACTAAATCCGTCTCTACGGGATGAATAACATTTATCTGGAGAATCCTAAAGACTAAATCCGTCTCTACGGGATGAATAACATTTATCTGGAGAATCCTAAAGACTAAATCCGTCTCTACGGGATGAATAACATTTATCTGGAGAATCCTAAAGACTAAATCCGTCTCTACGGGATGAATAACATTTATCTGGAGAATCCTAAAGACTAAATCCGTCTCTACGGGATAAATAACATTTATCTGGAGAATCCTAAAGACTAAATCCGTTCCTACGGGATAAATAACATTTATCTGGAGAATCCTAAAGACTAAATCCGTCTCTACGGGATGAATAACATTTATCTGGAGAGTCCTAAAGACTAAATCCGTCTCTACGGGATGAATAACATTTATCTGGAGAATCCTAAAGACTAAATCCGTCTCTACGGGATAAATAACATTTATCTGGAGAATCCTAAAGACTAAATCCGTCTCTACGGGATGAATAACATTTATCTGGAGAGTCCTAAAGACTAAATCCGTCTCTACGGGATGAATAACATTTATCTGGAGAATCCTAAAGACTAAATCCGTCTCTACGGGATAAATAACATTTATCTGCAGAATCCTAAAGAGTAAATCCGTCTCTACGGGATAAATAACATTTATCTGGAGAATCCTAAAGACTAAATCCGTCTCTACGGGATAAATAACATTTATCTGGAGAATCCTAAAGACTAAATCCGTCTCTACGGGATGAATAACATTTATCTGGAGAATCCTAAAGAGTAAATCCGTCTCTACGGGATAAATAACATTTATCTGGAGAATCCTAAAGACTAAATCCGTCTCTACGGGATAAATAACATTTATCTGGAGAATCCTAAAGACTAAATCCGTCTCTACGGGATAAATAACATTTATCTGGAGAATCCTAAAGACTAAATCCGTCTCTACGGGATAAATAACATTTATCTGGAGAATCCTAAAGACTAAATCCGTCTCTACGGGATAAATAACATTTATCTGGAGAATCCTAAAGACTAAATCCGTCTCTACGGGATAAATAACATTTATCTGGAGAATCCTAAAGACTAAATCCGTCTCTACGGGATAAATAACATTTATCTGGAGAATCCTAAAGACTAAATCCGTCTCTACGGGATAAATAACATTTATCTGGAGAATCCTAAAGACTAAATCCGTCTCTACGGGATAAATAACATTTATCTGGAGAATCCTAAAGACTAAATCCGTCTCTACGGGATAAATAACATTTATCTGGAGAATCCTAAAGACTAAATCCGTCTCTACGGGATAAATAACATTTATCTGGAGAATCCTAAAGACTAAATCCGTCTCTACGGGATGAATAACATTTATCTGGAGAATCCTAAAGAGTAAATCCGTCTCTACGGGATAAATAACATTTATCTGGAGAATCCTAAAGAGTAAATCCGTCTCTACGGGATAAATAACATTTATCTGCAGAATCCTAAAGAGTAAATCCGTCTCTACGGGATAAATAACATTTATCTGGAGAATCCTAAAGAGTAAATCCGTCTCTACGGGATAAATAACATTTATCTGGAGAATCCTAAAGACTAAATCCGTCTCTACGGGATAAATAACATTTATCTGGAGAATCCTAAAGACTAAATCCGTCTCTACGGGATAAATAACATTTATCTGGAGAATCCTAAAGAGTAAATCCGTCTCTACGGGATAAATAACATTTATCTGGAGAATCCTAAAGACTAAATCCGTCTCTACGGGATAAATAACATTTATCTGGAGAATCCTAAAGACTAAATCCGTCTCTACGGGATGAATAACATTTATCTGGAGAATCCTAAAGAGTAAATCCGTCTCTACGGGATAAATAACATTTATCTGGAGAATCCTAAAGAGTAAATCCGTCTCTACGGGATAAATAACATTTATCTGCAGAATCCTAAAGAGTAAATCCGTCTCTACGGGATAAATAACATTTATCTGGAGAATCCTAAAGAGTAAATCCGTCTCTACGGGATAAATAACATTTATCTGGAGAATCCTAAAGACTAAATCCGTCTCTACGGGATAAATAACATTTATCTGCTGAAAATATATATCTCTCATATAAGCTCTTTCATATATTATTATAAGCTCTTTTATTATTCATTCTTACATGCTACTCTTTTCATTATGGGATCATGTTATAATATAAAGGTCTCTCTGTGTTTCTCTCCTGCACAAGCTCTTAAAACAGCTGCAGGAACTCCAAAAGGGAGTGAGACATTGCAGTCTCTTCTTGTACCAGGTTACCAAGGATATTTCTGCTTATCTTAAGAATTACAAGTTCTTGTGACATGTTAGATCCTGCCTAACAAGGCAATATATATATATATTTACCTTATAAGCTCATTTTATTATCTATGCTATGGAAACTCGCTCAGATACTCAAGGCCTTCACACAAAGATTAATAGCTGTGTATCTTCTCCTGCACAAGAGAAGGGAGTGTGCACATTCCATCTCCACTCAGTGCCTCTCGGTACCAGTGAATGTATCTTCTCCTGTCATGAATATATCAGGATGTTCCTGGTAATCTCAAGGATGTGTTCTAGTGATGTATTAAACTGTCCGCTAACAAGGCTGTTATTTTCACCTGTCATGATCATTGACGTATGTACATGGCAAACTGCGTATGTAACATTCCTGTAAGCTTCAATAAAAATCAGCCGTTTTCAGTAGAACGGAGAGAGTCTGTCCGAAGCATCTGGCAAGAGCAGGTCGCGGGACTTGCTGCAGAGACTCTCCCCCTCATGAGCGGCGAAACAGTGAATGGACTTCTGATCATTTGTCTCCTCGTTCTGACAACTTTAAAGGTGTTTAACTCCATCTACTCCGTACCCGTGCTTGGTCTAACGGAAGAGAGACCAACACTGCAGAATCCTAAAGAGTAAATCCGTCTCTACGGGATAAATAACATTTATCTGGAGAATCCTAAAGAGTAAATCCGTCTCTACGGGATAAATAACATTTATCTGGAGAATCCTAAAGACTAAATCCGTCTCTACGGGATAAATAACATTTATCTGGAGAATCCTAAAGACTAAATCCGTCTCTACGGGATAAATAACATTTATCTGCAGAATCCTAAAGAGTAAATCCGTCTCTACGGGATGAATAACATTTATCTGCAGAATCCTAAAGAGTAAATCCGTCTCTACGGGATGAATAACATTTATCTGCAGAATCCTAAAGAGTAAATCCGTCTCTACGGGATAAATAACATTTATCTGGAGAATCCTAAAGACTAAATCCGTCTCTACGGGATAAATAACATTTATCTGGAGAATCCTAAAGACTAAATCCGTCTCTACGGGATAAATAACATTTATCTGGAGAATCCTAAAGAGTAAATCCGTCTCTACGGGATAAATAACATTTATCTGGAGAATCCTAAAGACTAAATCCGTCTCTACGGGATAAATAACATTTATCTGGAGAATCCTAAAGACTAAATCCGTCTCTACGGGATAAATAACATTTATCTGGAGAATCCTAAAGACTAAATCCGTCTCTACGGGATGAATAACATTTATCTGGAGAATCCTAAAGACTAAATCCGTCTCTACGGGATGAATAACATTTATCTGGAGAATCCTAAAGACTAAATCCGTCTCTACGGGATGAATAACATTTATCTGCAGAATCCTAAAGACTAAATCCGTCTCTACGGGATGAATAACATTTATCTGGAGAATCCTAAAGACTAAATCCGTCTCTACGGGATAAATAACATTTATCTGGAGAATCCTAAAGACTAAATCCGTCTCTACGGGATAAATAACATTTATCTGCAGAATCCTAAAGACTAAATCCGTCTCTACGGGATAAATAACATTTATCTGGAGAATCCTAAAGACTAAATCCGTCTCTACGGGATAAATAACATTTATCTGGAGAATCCTAAAGAATAAATCCGTCTCTACGGGATAAATAACATTTATCTGCAGAATCCTAAAGACTAAATCCGTCTCTACGGGATAAATAACATTTATCTGGAGAATCCTAAAGACTAAATCCGTCTCTACGGGATAAATAACATTTATCTGGAGAATCCTAAAGAGTAAATCCGTCTCTACGGGATAAATAACATTTATCTGCAGAATCCTAAAGACTAAATCCGTCTCTACGGGATAAATAACATTTATCTGGAGAATCCTAAAGACTAAATCCGTCTCTACGGGATGAATAACATTTATCTGGAGAATCCTAAAGACTAAATCCGTCTCTACGGGATAAATAACATTTATCTGGATAAATAACATTTATCTGGAGAATCCTAAAGACTAAATCCGTCTCTACGGGATAAATAACATTTATCTGGAGAAAGCCACACTGGTGCTGGCGCTCTTTGTGACACGTCACACTGTACTGCGGCTGGTGGCTTTGGTGGAACTCTGGGAAATGGAGTTTCAGCGCCCACAGAGCTCTGCCGCCCAAGTAAGGTCCCGCCTTTCTGGTCTCTGATTGGCTAGAAAGGCTCTGCTACGATTGGCTGTTTCAGTCAGCAGCAACCCGGCAGTCCTGCTAAGAGCAGACTGTCCTCCTGCCCATAGATATGTATGTAAACACATTTATTTATATCTATGCTGCGGTTGAAGCCGTTTTGGGGAGTTTAGTAAAGAAAGTGTGAACTTAGCGCTGTAATAACCATTCTGTCCTGTTAGCTGAATATTTTATGTTTCATAAATAACTGAAAACGTAAAAGGTGAATTTATAATCTTGTTGCATTAATCAGACTGTTGGACTTCCTTTATGTCTGTTGGCTGTGAAGCATTAGAGTACATAGGATAAACATATGTGCCTTACCTGGGTATGAACTTTAATGCAACTGCCCTATTCTGCCCAGCTGTGGGCATCAGGTCTGTTGCTTTACTAGAATCATGAAAACTGGTGAAAAATAGGTCTAAATCAGGATTATTTTCATTAAATGATTCACATTTAATCTGATGATGAGCGATGTGCTCTAACTTGTAAACATCCTCAGCCCATTAAAGCAGGACAGCCTACTAATTAACCCCAATAGAGCCAACAGATAGAAAGTCAGTCTACAGTGTGGTAAAACGAGGTTTATTAAAGAGCAAGTCACCTCTTACAAGAAGCGTACTTCACTCCCACTTCATGTTTGAAAAATGCAACAAATGCTGTTGCCTAGCAGACCGAGAGGGTGGAGCCACTAACAAATACACACACTCACGACATTGTGACATCATAATGTACCAGTTTACATCATAGCATACCTCTTAGCCAATAGCGGTGGCAGATTTAAATTCAAATCCAGTGCAGAGTTTTTACTTGACAACGGCACAACACTGACAGTTTCAGGCAGAAAATTTAAATTGTAACTAAAATGCACTAAAGTGCAAAACTATTGATTACACATGTCTGCAGCATGATTAGACACACATTTATATAGTTTATCAGAAAAAAATAGTTGATTTGGGGGTGACTTGCTCTTTAAGTTCACATTTGATGTTTTTCGGGTTCTCTTATGAAAGAAACTGAACCTGGTTTGTTGCTAAACAGGAAAGGATGCTTATTATAGTGATGAGTTCACACTTTCTTCTAAACTCCTCAAGATCTGGCTGCAAACATAAAACCTGCAGCGAGGGAAAACGGCTTCCTCTTACACGAAATAGCCAATCGTAGGAGAGCCCTTCCAGCCAATCAGAGGCGGGAAAGGCGGGACCTTCCTTCTGACGCCTCTCGCCCTGTTGGTTCAACAGACTACACGTCCCAGCATGCCCGGATGCCCCGCGCATGACAAGTAGAGCGCGGTGTGGAGCGGGCGGCTGCTCGGTGCTGGGTGAGTTCAAACCGCTTCTTTGTTCTTCTGAACTTACCGGAGCCTTTTGTTCCGTCAGCAGCGTTGTTTACAGGACGTTACCTTTGTTTACGTTAGTTTGTGCGACTGTTAGCTGCACTCGGCTAACTCCCGGTTAGCCGCGGTACCGGGTTCTGAGACCGAACTGCGGAAACGGTCCGTTACCGGAGTGTTGTCACGTGACGGGGGTAAAGGCGTAGCAGCAGCTGAACTTTTCCCTGAACAACAACCGACCTGGGGTCAGTTTAAGCTCCAAACGCTGGGTGAAACCAGACTAACACCTGGCGCATGCGCACTGCTGCGAGTCCGTTATAAGCAGACCGGGTTCTGGTTCTAGGGTCCTTACCAGCTCTAGCTGGTTGTCTTCCTCATTCTCCATTTTTATAGGTTCAGAGGCCATGGAGCCCGCGTGGCGTCAGCAAGGCAGGGGGCGTGGCCGCGGTCATGACGCTCAGGGTCAAAGGTCACGACCCCTGCCGAAGGAGAGAGAGAGGTCAGGAGGTGCTCCTGAACATCCACAAGGTGAAGCTCTCGTACTTGTGGATCTACTGGGTTCCACCAGAACCAGGTCCGTCTTAACTGTCCCTCTTCCTGTGAAACAGCAGGACAGCCGGTCCCGTCCAGGTTTGAGGAGATCCGAAAGTCCAACCAGGCTGCTGCCAAGCGACTGGTGGAGAGCCACCTCAGCTCCTCGTCCTCCGACGAAGACCAGGATGGGACGGATGATGGAGACACGCAGAGAGGCAGGATCCTGGAGTCCACCTTTACCTCCTACACCAACCAGACAGGTGAGCCAACGCATCTGGAGGCTTTCTAAAGGGGCGGGGCTGTAGACGGTCATGACTAAAGGGGCGGGGCTGTAGACGGTCATGTCTAAAGGGGCGGGGCTGTAGGCGGTCATGTCTAACCCCCAAATTCCACTACCTCCGGTCCGCCCCCGCCTTCCACAGCCACTCGCTTCCGAACTCAATTTTTACCGGTACCCCGCTCTACAACGGCTCCGCTCCGGTGCGGAGACCTGAGGTGGGCAAACAAGCACGCGCGGGATTTTCGAGATCTTGCGATACCGTCCGAGCAATAAACGCGGAAGTTAGATCCAAACACCCGTTGTGTGGGAGAAGCATCGGCATGAACTGTTTAATCTGCCCATCATGTGTGTTGAGAGATCAGCAGTGTTTGGATCAACAAAGCGTGACTACTTTGATAGTAGAAACTGTATTTATGGCTTACTTTTGTGCATTTAAACTTCAGCCTCCATTGATAGTTGTTAAAAGTTGTTAAACCTGTGCATATGAAACAAAAAACGCCTTTTGTTTATCGATTTATTGTGAAAAACGGAAATTGTGCTTGCTCCTTTTCCTGTTGGGCCGTTGTGATTTCTGTCCATTTACTGCGGAGGTGCTCCAGCGTCCGGCAAAAATAGGATCGATTCTATTTTTGCCGGACGCCGGAACAGAGGGCGGCGCACGGCGCCGCACTGCCGGAGCACGGCCGCAGTAGTGGAATTGCTCTGATTGACTAGAACGGGACCGATTTTGTTCCGGCGTTCGTGTCGGAGCGGAGCGGAGGTAGTGGAATTTGGGGGTAAAGGGGCGGGGCTGTAGACGGTCATGTCTAAAGGGGCGGGGCTGTAGACAGTCATGTCTAAAGGGGCGGGGCTGTAGGCGGTCATGTCTAAAGGGGCGGGGCTGTAGACAGTCATGTCTAAAGGGGCGGGGCTGTAGGCGGTCATGTCTAAAGGGGCGGGGCTGTAGGCGGTCATGTCTAAAGGGGCGGGACTGTAGGCAGTCATGTCTAAAGGGGCGGGGCTGTAGGCGGTCATGTCTAAAGGGGCGGGGCTGTAGACAGTCATGTCTAAAGGGGCGGGGCTGTAGGCGGTCATGTCTAAAGGGGCGGGGCTGTAGGCGGTCATGTCTAAAGGGGCGGGGCTGTAGGCGGTCATGTCTAAAGGGGCGGGGCTGTAGGCGGTCATGTCTAAAGGGGCGGGGCTGTAGGCGGTCATGTCTAAAGGGGCGGGGCTGTAGGCGGTCATGTCTAAAGGGGCGGGGCTGTAGGCGGTCATGTCTAAAGGGGCTGGGCTGTAGGCGGTCATGTCTAAAGGGGCGGGACTGTAGGCAGTCATGTCTAAAGGGGCGGGGCTGTAGGCGGTCATGTCTAAAGGGGCGGGGCTGTAGACGGTCATGTCTAAAGGGGCGGGGCTGTAGGCAGTCATGTCTAAAGGGGCGGGGCTGTAGGCGGTCATGTCTAAAGGGGCTGGGCTGTAGGCGGTCATGTCTAAAGGGGCGGGACTGTAGGCAGTCATGTCTAAAGGGGCGGGGCTGTAGGCGGTCATGTCTAAAGGGGCGGGGCTGTAGACGGTCATGTCTAAAGGGGCGGGGCTGTAGGCAGTCATGTCTAAAGGGGCGGGGCTGTAGGCGGTCATGTCTAAAGGGGCGGGGCTGTAGGCGGTCATGTCTAAAGGGGCGGGGCTGTTAGCGGTAGGGCTGCTCGATTATGGCATAAATGATGATCACGATTATTGTGACTGAAATTGAGATCTGGATTATTTGAGACGATTTTTGAATTGATGTTGATTTAATTTGTTTTTATTGGGTGACGAGAATAAATAAGATAACCCATGATCACAGAATAACTCCTGACTCCTAGAATAAAGACCAGTAAACTTCTAGCTGACTCTAGTTTTTCCTCCGGTCTCATATTTCCTAGCAGAGTTTAGAGCAGAACTTTGACCCTGAGGCTTCCTGGATGTGTTATGTTTAATGAATTTGGCTGACATCATGTTATCACGTGTGTGTTTAGGCCAGCCACGACCGAGCTCCTTCAGCTGTGGTCTAGAAGCTGCTGGGTGAGGGACAGTGGGCTAACGTTGGTTACACTGAGCTGGTTTGGGTTTCAGGAGCAGATGAACAGAACAGTAACTAGAGTAAAGTCCTACCTGCGTTAACAACTCCTTAAACCTAACTACCGTCCGCGTTGGGTCGTTTAACACACACACACACACACACACACACACACACACACACACACACACACACACACACACACACACACACACACACACACACACACACACACACACACACACACACATACACTCACACTCACACACACACACACACATACACTCACACTCACACACACTTCCAAACTCTGGAACTCTTAGTGCAGGGGTTTGTGTAGCTCTCTCTCTCTCCTCTCTCTCTCTCTCTCTCTGCAGCCGGTGTGCACCGGGGGTCTGACCTCTAATAACCCCAGACCTGATGGTCAGAGCGTCGCTTAACACATCTCCAACCTTCTCTAATGATGCTTACACGTTAGCATCGGCACGGTCGGGGTTCGGTCGGGCTGGATGGCGTGAGTGCGGCCTCTAACGGGCGGTGCAGTGTTCACATATAAATCAGAGGGACCCCGGCGCTTTATAAGCCTAGCGGCCCGCGCCAGGCTAAGCGTCATGCCCCGCCCCCCTCCCGACCCCACCGTGTCCGCTGACACGAACGGTGCAACCAAACTAGAGCCCTCCATCACACACACACACACACACACACACACACACACACAGAGCTATTCTCCCGTTCCCACACGGGTCGGCAGCTCCGTGCTGCTGACAGAAGTATGAAAATGAACCACGCATGCAGAACCCCCGCTGGCTCATCCGTCTAGCGGCTCGGAGGCGGTAGGTGTAGTTTCAGCCGGTCGATCCCAGTCTGGCCGCTGGGGAGGAGGTCTGAGGAAAAGAGTCGCCTCGGCACCGAAAACCAGTCCGACCTGTGTGTGGAACCTAATTCTGGTGCCACACGGGGCCGAACCCGCGCTAATGTGTAAGCGGCGTAATGCTGCCCACACCAAACACACCAAAGCATCGTTCTACCTGCAGCTGTCCACTAGTGGAGCTGGACGTCACTTCTGAGAACATGAAGCACAAGAAAAGTGAAAAGTAGGAGAAATGTTTTTCTCTTCAGGTCAAACGTTTTCACCACATCTAGCTGGTATTTCATTTCAGTATCTTCATCTCTAGTCATTCCACAGAAAACTCCACATGAAAACTACTTGAAAGGTTTAGTTTAAACACGGTTCTGCTGCTCTCTGACCACCAGCTCTGTTTCCAGGTGGAGATTCATCAGGTCTGGTCAAAAACCGGTCAGTACCTCACAGACCTGTTCCAGTCTGGAGCTCTCACCTGTCTGATCTGCATCGCCTCAGTCAGGAGGACACAGCAGGTCTCACACACACACACACACCACGCACGCACGCACACACACACACACACACACACACTCTCTCTCTCTCTCTCTCTCGTCTCTCTCTCTCTCTCTCTCTCTCTCTCTCTCTCTCTCTCTCTCTCTCTCTCTCTCCTCTCTCTCTCTCTCTCTCTCTCTCTCTCTCTCTCTCTCTCTCTCTCTCTCTCTCTCTCTCTCACACACACACAAACACTGATGTATATATGTAAATCTATTAGGGCTGCAACAACGAATCGATAAATTCGATGAAAATCGATTACTAAAAGCGTTGGCAACGAATTGCGTCATCGATTCGTTGTGTCGCACAACTCTTCCAAAAGCGCCCCCCCCCCCCCCCCCCCCCCTTCCCGCCCGCCGTTGCGCGCAGACCAGAGCAAGTCAGATCAGCGCGAGGTAGAGCCGGCAGATCAGCGCGAGGGAGAGCCGGCAGATCAGCGCGAGGGAGAGCCGGCAGATCAGCGCGAGAGAGAGCCGGTACCGGCAGATCAGCGCGCGAGGGAGAGCCGGCAGACTTGCGCTGCTGCGAACCGGTTCCGCATTGTCGCGCAGCGATCCAGGCAGCTGCTTCCAGCGCACGGTCCATTCTCAAAGTGGCGCAACCAAAAAACTATAATTAGCACACGATCGTTCATGTCCGCACATGTTCTCTATTTTCTGTCTTATTTGTGCCTGAAGCTCGCTACTGCGGAGCTCATCACCTGTGCTGTGGTGATGTCACCTCACGCAGCATCGAAAACGCGCTCTGCGCTTTTCGGTCAGGAGATCCCTTTGATCTGCTCAAAAGTAACTGATGAGGTGAAAAGGTAAGAATCCAGGCAACAGATTTTCTGGAGAATTAAGAGGAGATGCAGGAAGATGAGAGACAGACAGGACAGGAAAATAGTTAAATAAAAACAAGAAAACAAAACAAAGTGTTGAAAAGTCAAATGTAGGTAGATTTATCTCCACTACACGTTTTTACCAGTAAAAAACAACAAGTTATACACATGTAATATTTATACATCTGATACAATTCAGATCACCTTCAAAACTCAGTCACACACCCAGGGCCGTTTCAAGACATTTTGGGGGCCAAGGCAAAATGCCCCCCCCCCATAACTGGGCTCCCCAGAAGCCTCTGTGTAATTCATACCCTCTCCAGTAGTGTTAGTTATATGGTGTTTATAAAAGCCCCTCAGACATTACTGACATGTTCTAATATTATCAGATGAAAAACTAAATTATCAGACATGCTGTCTCATCTGCTGCTTTTCTAAACTTGCAAAAAGTAACAAAACCATTTGAAAGCCACTATTTGTGGATTCTCTGAAAGTTTCCATGGAGTGTGTGACAACTTATTTTTTCATTGATCCTATCGTCTAATCTCCCAGCTGAAACAAGCATCCTTAATAATCTGTGCACAGGAAGCTTACCGATGCTGTAGTAAAACAAAAGGTATAATAATTTATTATTAATAAAACCTTGTTGCAGCACTAAAGCAGAAAAATGAGATTTTGCATTAAATATGCAAAATATTTACATATGAATTGTTTTAGAGCCCTTTTATTGGCAGAATCTGATATTAATTTAGTTCTTACAAAAAATGGGTCCCAACATGGTTTGTGTGGCGTTGCCATAGTGTGACGTCATAGGCACAGATCCCTGTCCTCTTGTTTGGAAATGGAAATATGATCACCCTACATTAAACAAACTGTCCACCCGGGCTTTTGCGCTGCACAGAGACGCTTCGCTGCCTACGACTGAACGTCAGTTGAGAGTCAGTCTCATGCAGACTGACCAATGAAGAGAGGGCCTCAAGTTAAGACCCTCTCCTCATTGGTCAGTCCACACGAGGTGGGTCAAAGGTTACTCTGGGCGGGTTACGTGTTGTCAGGCATTCAAGTATTGAGTATATTTACTGCATATTACAGTAAAATATTCTGTATGTGACCACATTATGGTGATCCTCTGGTCGTGATGATGGAGCCCTTGAATATTGTTGCCCAGGGTACAACAAAGTGTTAATCTGGCCCTGGTTCCGCCGTCACATTCCCGCAGAAACTGGTTGATCACACCGGGGCCAGACTACTAGCATGTGGTTTTACAACCACAATGTCCTCGGAAGCAAAAACGCTTTTAAAAGGGAGGGAGGAGTCCTAACTGTTGCTGCAGGCGTGTTGTGTGAGAGTGCAGTTATATACTGGTGAATATATTTTTGGGTTCAGTTGCTTTCATGTGGCCTAATGTGAGTCTATTTGGGATCATTGGAATGATCAGCAGCACTTCTTGATGTGACTTTATGGCAGTTGCCCAGGGCATCATCGCAAGGAGGATGGCATTCATTTACTTTTGTTTTATTTGGTATTTTTTCAGTCAGTTTTGGAAATAGTGATCAATTTTGATTAATTCACAGCCTATGTTTAATTACATTTAAAATAAATATTAACAGATGAGATCAAACAAAACAGATGAGAATTGCCCTTAAGCTGTTTAACTTGGACCAAGCATTTTAGGTCACAGATAGATGTAGCTTAGGGTCTCTGTCTATACACTTTAAAAGACAATTTAGGTGATGGCATGTTGTTTTTCTGCTATTGAACTGTTTTCTAATAATGTTGTGTTAAATAAAGTGAAGGAAGGAGAGAAATAACGTTTCCCTAGCAGTTTTTAAAAATTTCCCCATGTAATCCGATTAATCGATTAATCGTGTCGAGACCCCATCCGATTAATCGATTATCCAAATAATCGTTTGTTGCAGCCCTAAAATCTATATCTATATCTATCTATATATATATATATATATATATATATGTATATATATATATGTATATCTATATCTATATATGTATATAAATATATATAGATATAGATATATATATATATCTATATCTATATATATCTATCTATCTATCTATATATATATATGTATATATATATCTATATATCTATATGTATATATGTATATAGATATATATATATATACATATAGATATATATATATATCTATATCTCTCTCTCTATATATATATATATATATATATATAGAGAGAGAGATATAGATATAGATATATATATATATCTATATCTCTATATATATATATATATATATATAGAGATATAGATATATATATATATCTATATCTCTATATATATATATATATATATAGAGATATAGATATATATATATATCTATATCTCTCTCTCTATATATATATATATATATATATATATATATATATATATATATATATATATATATATATATATATATATAGATTTATAGATATAGACACACACACACACATTGCCAGCAGGTGGTGACAGCATACAGATCAGGTGAAAATGAAATGAGAAGCTTTATTTGTCCCAGGGAAGGGAAATTAGAGTTTCAGTACTCTAAAACTCTATTCATTATATATATTGTCCTTTAGTGCTTTACAGATGTGAGAGCTATGGAGAGGGACGCTAAAGTGTGTGTGTGTGTGTGTGTGTGTGCGTACGGACAGGTGTGGAGCTGCTCCGGCTGTTTCTCTCTCTTCCACCTGCCCTGTATCCAGAAGTGGGCCAGAGACTCTGCCTTCCTCGTCTCCTCCATCACTGATGAAGACTTTGGTCAGAAGCAGCACCCCTGGCCCTGGTGAGCAGACAACACACACACACGCGCACGCACACACACACACACCTGTGTTGCCATGTTAGAGAGATGCTGCTGTCCTTCAGGCGGATCAGAACATCTGTACACACCTGGTGTTTGGTGATGTAGATCTTCCATCATGGTCTGGGCCAGGTGTTAATCCAGGTGTTAATCCAGGTGTTCTCTTCTCTCCCCAGTCCCAAGTGTCGGACAGAATATCCTCCCAGTGCCACGCCCAACAGGTACGCCTCACCCATCTGTGTGTGTGCTTCCTGTGTCGGTCTCAGAAGCTTGAGGTGTGTGTGTGTGTGTGTGTTCAGGTACATGTGCTACTGCGGGAAGCTTCAGGACCCTCCAGCTGATCCCTGGTTGGTTCCTCACTCCTGTGGTTCCATCTGCCAGAGAGAACTCAAACCTACCTGTGGACACACCTGTCTGCTGCTCTGCCACCCTGGTACACACACACACACACACACACCTGTGAGGGATGCAATGAGAGTAAACACACCGTGTCTGTGTTCAGGTCCCTGCCCCCCCTGTCCAAAGATGGTGTCTGTGTCCTGCATGTGTGGCAAGGCTAAGCCCCTCCCACGCCGCTGCAGCAACAAGGTAAACACCTGGAACACGGATGTCGGGTGTAAGTGGGAGGAGCTGTAGTCCTGGTGGGGTTCTGATGGTTTAGTCGTCAGGGTCAGATCCCACCAGTGTGTGTGTGTGTGTGTGTGTGTGTGATCACATGCTGAGCGGTGTTGTACACGCGTGTTCTTCCAGGCCTGGTCATGTCAGCAGAGGTGTGGGAAGCTGTTATCCTGTAAGCAGCACACCTGTTCCCAGCCCTGTCACCCAGGTACACACACATCACCCTGGGCCTTTAGTCCTCACACACCCTCCTCCATCTACTCATCAGTCTGGGTGTGTGTGTGTGTGTGTGTCAGAGTGCTCTCCATGTCCCAGAGTCAGCTTTCAGAGGTGTGTGTGTGGACGACAGACCTCAGAGAGACCGTGCTCCAGCCCCCGTTGGACCTGTCAGCAGGTAGTCGTCACTCATCAGAGAGCAGGTGTGTTCTGCTGCCACCTGCTGGCCGTCACACTGCTGTGTGTGTGTGTGTGTGTGTGTGTGTGTGTGTGTGTGTGTGTGTGTGTGTGTGTGTGTCTCAGGTGTGTGGAGCTCCGCTCACCTGTGGCCACCACACCTGTGAGGAGGTGTGTCACCAAGGAATCTGTCCTCCTTGTCCTCGCTCTATCAGCAGATCCTGTCCCTGTGGGAAGACCAGTGAGTGCACGCACACACACACACACACGCACACACACTTCTGTTTGTGTTGTTTTATTGTAAATGTCATCATCTGATCTGTGTGTGCACGTGCGCACGTGTGTTTGCGTGTGCACACGTGCGTGTGCGTATGTGTGTGTGTGTGTGTGTAGAGTCGTCTCTGCCTTGTACAGAGGAAGTGTCTTTGTGTGGCGACACGTGTGACCGCCGTCTGTCCTGCTTGAAGCACACCTGCTCTATGAGGTGTCACCGAGGGAGCTGCGAGACATGCAGACAGGTCTCTCTCTCTCACACACACACACACACACACACACACACACACACACACACACACACACACACACACGCGTGCATTAAGCAGAGGCACTGAGCCGATGCTTGTTCCTGCAGGAGGTGGAGAAGGAGTGCAGGTGTGGGAAACACAGGAAGTTGATGCCATGCCATAAGGAATACCTGTGTGACTCCAAGTGTCCGAGGACCAGGAACTGTCAGAGACACCAGTGCAGGAGGAAGGTGTGCGTGTGTGTGTGTGTGTGTGTGTGCGTGTGTGTGTGTGTGTGTGTGTGTGTGTGTGCGTGTGTGTGTGAATCAGCTCCATGTAAATGTCAGACTGGTGTTATGTGCATGTTTCTCCTGAAGGGAGAAAGTCAGAACCCTAACACACACACACACACTTACACATGCACACACACACACTTACACATGCACACACACACACTTACACATGCACACACACACTTACGCACACACACACTTACGCACACACACACACACACACACACACACACGTTGAAGCTGCCTACACCAGACCAGTAACGCGTGGCTCCCCCACTGACCCTGTGTTCCAGTGCTGCCCTGGCACCTGCCCTCCGTGTGATCAGGTGTGTGCTCGTACTCTGGGATGTCGTAACCACAAGTGTCCGTCCGTCTGCCACCAAGGTAATCCGCTACTTCCTCTTCCTGCTTCCTGACTGCTGAAGTGACTGGGCTGGTGCGTGTGGTGCTTCAGGCTGCAGGGTGAATGTGGCGCTTTGACCTTAACCCGTTACCTTTACTCATGCCCAGTAAGCTGTGATATCACACACACACACACGCTAACAGCGTGCTGCACACACACAGCTGGTGTGATCACATCTAAAAAGCCTTGATCACAATTTGCAGATCACGTTTATTTTTCACGGAGATCGGCCGCGGGTTCCTCTTCCGTCGGCTGTCTAGGAATCTAAGTTGAAACTTTCAGCGATTCTGGGAAAACGGACAGTTGTTCCCGGTTCCAGTCCACGCTCGATGCCCAGCCCGGGTCACTAGCAGCCCGGGTCACTAGCAGCCCGGGTCACTAGCAGCCCGGGTCACTAGCAGCCCTGGTCACTAGCAGCCCGGGTCACTAGCAGCCCTGGTCACTAGCAGCCCGGGTCACTAGCAGCCCTGGTCACTAGCAGCCCTGGTCACTAGCAGCCCGGGTCACTAGCAGCCCGGGTCACTAGCAGCCCTGGTCACTAGCAGCCCGGGTCACTAGCAGCCCTGGTCACTAGCAGCCCGGGTCACTAGCAGCCCTGGTCACTCGCAGCCCTGGTCACTAGCAGCCCGGGTCACTAGCAGCCCGGGTCACTAGCAGCCCTGGTCACTAGCAGCCCTGGTCTCTAGCAGCCCTGGTCACTAGCAGCCCTGGTTTCTAGCAGCCCTGGTCACTAGCAGCCCGGGTCACTAGCAGCCCTGGTCACTAGCAGCCCGGGTCACTAGCAGCCCGGGTCACTAGCAGCCCTGGTCACTAGCAGCCCTGGTCACTAGCAGCCCGGGTCACTAGCAGCCCGGGTCACTAGCAGCCCGGGTCACTCGCAGCCCTGGTCACTCGCAGCCCGGGTCACTAGCAGCCCGGGTCACTAGCAGCCCGGGTCACTAGCAGCCCTGGTCACTAGCAGCCCTGGTCACTAGCAGCCCGGGTCACTAGCAGCCCGGGTCACTAGCAGCCCTGGTCACTAGCAGCCCGGGTCACTAGCAGCCCTGGTCACTAGCAGCCCTGGTCACTAGCAGCCCGGGTCACTAGCAGCCCGGGTCACTAGCAGCCCTGGTCACTAGCAGCCCGGGTCACTAGCAGCCCGGGTCACTAGCAGCCCTGGTCACTAGCAGCCCGGGTCACTAGCAGCCCTGGTCACTAGCAGCCCTGGTCACTAGCAGCCCGGGTCACTAGCAGCCCGGGTCACTAGCAGCCCGGGTCACTAGCAGCCCGGGTCACTAGCAGCCCTGGTCACTAGCAGCCCTGGTCACTAGCAGCCCGGGTCACTAGCAGCCCGGGTCACTAGCAGCCCTGGTCACTAGCAGCCCGGGTCACTAGCAGCCCTGGTCACTAGCAGCCCTGGTCACTAGCAGCCCGGGTCACTAGCAGCCCGGGTCACTAGCAGCCCTGGTCACTAGCAGCCCGGGTCACTAGCAGCCCTGGTCACTAGCAGCCCTGGTCACTAGCAGCCCTGGTCACTAGCAGCCCGGGTCACTAGCAGCCCGGGTCACTAGCAGCCCTGGTCACTAGCAGCCCGGGTCACTAGCAGCCCGGGTCACTAGCAGCCCGGGTCACTAGCAGCCCGGGTCACTAGCAGCCCTGGTCACTAGCAGCCCGGGTCACTAGCATCCCGGGTCACTAGCAGCCCGGGTCACAAGCATCCCGGGTCACAAGCATCCCGGGTCACTAGCATCCCTGGTCACTAGCAGCCCTGGTCACTAGCAGCCCGGGTCACAAGCAGCCCTGGTCACTAGCAGCCCGGGTCACTAGCAGCCCGGGTCACTAGCAGCCCGGGTCACTAGCAGCCCTGGTCACTAGCAGCCCTGGTCACTAGCAGCCCGGGTCACTAGCAGCCCTGGTCACTAGCAGCCCGGGTCACTAGCAGCCCTGGTCACTAGCAGCCCGGGTCACTAGCAGCCCGGGTCACTAGCAGCCCTGGTCACTAGCAGCCCTGGTCACTAGCAGCCCTGGTCACTAGCAGCCCTGGTCACTAGCAGCCCGGGTCACTAGCAGCCCGGGTCACTAGCAGCCCGGGTCACTAACAGCCCGGGTCACTAGCAGCCCGGGTCACTAGCAGCCCGGGTCACTAGCAGCCCGGGTCACTAGCAGCCCTGGTCACTAGCAGCCCGGGTCACTAGCAGCCCTGGTCACTAGCAGCCCTGGTCACTAGCAGCCCGGGTCACTAGCAGCCCGGGTCACTAGCAGCCCTGGTCACTAGCAGCCCTGGTCACTAGCAGCCCGGGTCACTAGCAGCCCGGGTCACTAGCAGCCCGGGTCACTAGCAGCCCTGGTCACTAGCAGCCCTGGTCACTAGCAGCCCGGGTCACTAGCAGCCCTGGTCACTAGCAGCCCTGGTCACTAGCAGCCCGGGTCACTAGCAGCCCGGGTCACTAGCAGCCCTGGTCACTAGCAGCCCGGGTCACTAGCAGCCCGGGTCACTAGCAGCCCTGGTCACTAGCAGCCCTGGTCACTAGCAGCCCGGGTCACTAGCAGCCCGGGTCACTAGCAGCCCGGGTCACTAGCAGCCCTGGTCACTAGCAGCCCGGGTCACTAGCAGCCCGGGTCACTAGCAGCCCGGGTCACTAGCAGCCCTGGTCACTAGCAGCCCTGGTCACTAGCAGCCCGGGTCACTAGCAGCCCGGGTCACTAGCAGCCCGGGTCACTAGCAGCCCGGGTCACTAGCAGCCCTGGTCACTAGCAGCCCTGGTCACTAGCAGCCCGGGTCACTAGCAGCCCGGGTCACTAGCAGCCCGGGTCACTAGCAGCCCGGGTCACTAGCAGCCCTGGTCACTAGCAGCCCGGGTCACTAGCAGCCCGGGTCACTAGCAGCCCGGGTCACTAGCAGCCCGGGTCACTAGCAGCCCGGGTCACTAGCAGCCCGGGTCACTAGCAGCCCGGGTCACTAGCAGCCCGGGTCACTAGCAGCCCTGGTCACTAGCAGCCCGGGTCACTAGCAGCCCGGGTCACTAGCAGCCCGGGTCACTAGCAGCCCGGGTCACTAGCAGCCCGGGTCACTAGCAGCCCGGGTCACTAGCAGCCCTGGTCACTAGCAGCCCGGGTCACTAGCAGCCCGGGTCACTAGCAGCCCGGGTCACTAGCAGCCCGGGTCACTAGCAGCCCGGGTCACTAGCAGCCCTGGTCACTAGCAGCCCTGGTCACTAGCAGCCCGGGTCACTAGCAGCCCTGGTCACTAGCAGCCCTGGTCACTAGCAGCTCTGTTCCTCGTGGCTTCTCTGCTGCTGCGTTGTGTTTTCTCTCCATGCAGACAACCATGACAACGACACACACCGACGGAGCACGGGGGAGCGGGGGTGTCCTAGTATAACACCCCCGTGAGCCACAGAGCTGCTGTTGACGGGCCGGTAGTTCAAACTCCCACTGGCTCCATTTGCCAAATGCAGAAGGAGCCACAGTGTCAGGTGCAGACCTAACCTGTACGCGCTTCAGCACCTAACCACGCTGGTACGACTCGGCCCGCTAAACCACGCACGTGACTTCTGTAGCAGGTGTGCACGGCTAGTGTCGTGTCTGCAGCAGCCAGGCTTCTGCTGATCTAGACCGCACATTTTAGCACCGGTGTCACGTCACTATAACCCGTTTCTGCACCGCTCTGCAGCACAGGCGGCCCAAGCACGCGCTCACTGCACTGTCGCTCTGCTCACACACACCAGAAGTGCAGCCGCCGTCTGCTCACACGCCCAGGAGCTGATTCAGTGTATAAGTCATGTGTACCGTCCCTGTTCAGCGTCCCCCTGCACAGGCCGGTAACGCGCTGAGGGGGTCGAACGGCCACAAAGCCACCGCGTTGGCAGCACCGCTGAACGCCCGCTCAGACCAGCTTGTTGCACAGACATACGGGACCTGTCGAAGGCTGGTCACAGATAGGTGTAGCTTAGGGTCTCTGTCTATACACCTTATGAGACAATTTAGGTGATGGCATGTTGTTTTTCTGCTATTGAACTGTTTTCTAATAATGTTGTGTTTAATAAAGTGAAGGAAGGAGAGAAATAACGTTTCCCTAGCAGTTTTTAACAATGTCCCTATGTAATCCGATTAATCGATTAATCGTGTCAAGACCCCATCCGATTCATCGATTATCCAAATAATCGTTTGTTGCAGCCCTAGTTCACAGTAAAGATGTTTGCTTCAGTTTAATTATCAACTTATAAAACTACAAGGACGATGTTAAAATACAAACAGTTGTATGTTATTTATCGTGATATTTATCAAATATGGTTATATATTAAGAAAAATATATATTTAATTATAAAAGAGAATTAAAATAATAAACACTCAAAAGTGTCGAAAACTGGTACCGTTAAGTACCGGTATCGACTCGTAGGTACTGGGAATTAGTTCCGGATCGATTCAGATGTCAAAGGTACCCATGCCTACTGATGACCTCGTCCGTGTGTACCAGAGATGGGACTCGTGGCATCAGCGAGTCAGACTGACACGTTGGCGTGTGTCACAGCAGCTGTGTGCGGTAACAACGTGCTGCTTATCCAGCTCCGTGGCTTGCCCTAGCCCGGCGACCTGGACCATGTAGAGCAGGGCTGAGTTGGGCTGAGTGTTGGAAAGACGACGGTGCATATTATACTAAGTGCCACTGGAAAGGTCAGAGGTCGTGTTCAGGAATAACTGGACCTTTTGGACCGTTGGTGCTGACATTTTCCCCAGGCGATAAGAGCAGCCGACACACGGAGCAGATTAGTGTCTGATGGTCTTCTCCTCAGTAACTCGGTAGAAGACCACGTCTCACAACTACAGGTCAGCTGTCACCTGCTTCTGACTGCTGATTGGCTGCTCTCACCTTCCAGCAGGTAGATTCTGCTTGAGCTGACTAACATGAACGTGTTCTACTTCTGGCTGCAGTAATCTACAGCTCCTGTACAGGACCTGTTAACCACAGCCACCTGACACCGTTCAGGTCACATTTCACACGTAGAACTCGCTAGTTTTACATCTCCCACTGGTTTTGATCTCAGAAAGCTGTTCTGTTCCTTAAGCAGTGTCCTGCTTTAGTTTTTATTAGCATGGCTTCGTTTCAGTTATCGTTTCAGGGTGTGTGTGTGTGTGTGTGTGTGTGTGTTAGGGTTACTGCAGAAGTACACCTGTCAGTTAGTGAGGTGCACTCTGACTGCTGTAGTACATAAGTGAGTACGTTTTATTCATGAAGCACAGAGTCCACATCCCGGCTGGGTCAGACCAGAGACTTCAGCAATGGGACCGACGCCTCGCTGCTGCACGCTCAGCTTTAGGCCTTAAACCAACCAACAGGTCTGGTAGTGAAGGTGCCGTGGTCACCCGAGTCAAACGCTGCAGAAACATCTGACAGTAGGCGTGTCTCCAGCACCAGAACCTCAGGCTAGATCTACAGGACGTGTCTCCACCTGACTGGGCTGGAGGACCTGCCCAGGGGTGGGTGCTCCAGCCCGGTGGGGTAGCGGAGTGGAACCTCCGCTTAACTCACACTGATTGGTTGTAACTCAGCAGGAAGTGACATCAGCAGGCGTCGTCCAAACCGACCGGCGTTAGTAAAGTTAGAAGAGTCGCTGGAGAAGCAGACTGGAAGCAGCAGAAGAGCAGCTCCGGTCTCATTTAAAATCTAACTCCCGACTCTGGAAACCTCGCGGAGACCCCCCACAGACGTGGTTAACTCGTCTCACACAGCTCTCGGCCGCTCTCGTCCTCTGAGTGGAGGAAGCCATGATAGGCTCTATCAAGTAGATGCTTTTAATACTACTAATGGTACTTTGGACGCTTTTTGGTGCTGATCAGTGACATCACTCACCGCCAAAGCAGTCGTGATACGCTGACGTCTGCAAGTTCTGGAAGGCCTGAATCTGAATGCTGAGAAGACTGGAGGTGTTCTCCGTGTCCAGGCGCCGCGCTTACGAGGACACGCTCCTTCCTCGGTCAAAGGAAGCGGTTAAAGGGAACAGACCTGCGTCACGTGACCACGGCCTCCACGGCGGTCACGTGACGTCACGTGACCCGGGAGATAACGTTATATTTTATACGTATTAGTTTCTACATAAATATATAACGAGCCTTTTACTGTTTATTATTATACATGTAAGTGAGTTTCTACCCGCTAGCCACCGAAGCTGCAGCTACTAAGCTACTAACCAACCACAGATAACTTCTTTAGACCTAAAATAAACATTTTAAATTAGCTGACTTACTTTTAAACTTGAACTTTGCCCCGAACTATCTTCCGGCTTCTGATTCGCCGTCCTTTTGAAAATACCGCGGTGTATTCTGGGTAATTTTTGACCAAGGCTAGGCTACACGACACCTTCTGTGCATCCTCGCTCAGCTAGCTAAACGGCTATCAAACGGAGAACACGCGCCTCGGTGGAACATGAACGTTGGAACACGTCTTGGTGGGTCCCGATGACGTATCTCCTAGGCAACCGGGGCGGGGCCAGGACATCACAGCGAGGTTCCTTGGCGTTGAGAAACCCTCCGGGACGCCCTATCCTGGTCAAGTCCCCATCCCAGGAACCACCCTGGAGTTCCTGGGATGGGGACTTGACCAGGGTAGTTCCTGGGATGGGGACAGTGTGAACTGCAGCCATCATGGCGCCGCTGGAAGCTAAGCTGTCTCTGCCTCCTCCCAGAACCAGACGAGTTATCAGAGCGGTTGTGTAGCTCCAGACCAGCCACCCGCTGAGCCCGTACCAGCAGTTAAAGCTCATTTAGAGCTGGTGAATGTCCTTAAACGCCACTCTAGAACGGGTCAGGGAGGGGGTCCTGGAGGCTCCTCCCCTGCTACAGGTAAAGAGGACACATCACAGCGTGTGTAGGTCCTCTCACCTGGTGCATTGCCACCACAGACCTGTGCCCCTAACAGGTGTGTCTCACCTGTCCCCAGGTAGCTGCTATCCCTGTCCAGAGACCGTGGAGGTCACCTGCACCTGTGGATTTACCGTTCTGACGGTACCTTGTGGTCGTGAGAAGAGCACCAAACCCCCGCGCTGCAAGGAGCCCTGCAGGTAAGCGTGCACGGACCTCATGGAGGATAATGACGAGCATGATTAGAGGTTCTGCTGGGTTCTAGTTGTGTCTGTGTTCCTCCAGAACCCCCCCCTCCTGTCACCACCAGACCCGGGAGTCTCATCGGTGCCACCCGGGCCCGTGCCCCCCCTGCACACAGACCTGCCTGCTGCCGCTACCTGGATGCAGCCATACCTGTCCTCAGCCCTGCCACGACCTGGTGCTGGTCCGGTCCCAGCAGGTCCGTTTCAGGAAGATTCTGTTGGTTCTGGGTTCATGTTCTGGTCCGACAGGTCTGTTCTGGGCCGGTGATCGGTTCCAGAACCAGACAGACCGTGTGTTTTAACCATCGACATACATATATTGGACAACGGGTTTCCATAGGCTCCAATAACACGTTTTTGAGGCTAAATGGGAGGCGGCCACCACCGCCATGCTGACCGTGTCACAGGTTCTGTCAAGCCCACACAATTCCATAAAAGGGAAGAGAGGTGGAGCTGAGGGTGGGGCTGTAAGGCTGGGATCAACTGCTAATGTAGCTACAAGCTAACCTGAAGCTAACGCGGAGGTGTGAGCTAAGCTAATGGAGGTAGCAACCTAGCTACAACCGGAGTTAACTGTGCACAACACCAGAGCTTCTGAGTCAGAGATTCGCCGGGCTGACCGCTGGGTAGAACTGGGTGGAACACAGAGGTCTCCGAGAGCTCGACAAGCCGATAGTGGGAACCCAGCTCCACCAACATGTTATATTTCAACCCATTTTCTACAGTGCAGCATTATGTTAAATGCACTGGGTTTTACCCTATTACATTTAAATTTCATGGTTAAACAGTACATGTTAACATCTAAGCTCAGCTCGGCAGTGACCTAAAATACATAAATATAATTTTACTTACCAAAAACATGAAGTGGAGACTCCTTGGACGCTCTATTAGTGCAATTAATGCCACAGCAAGTCATTTTGTCCAACAATTGCACAAAAAATATCCAAACAATGCTCATTAATTATACAGAATTTTAGGCATTCGAGTGTAAACTAGATCATTTAAACCAAAAACATGTTCTGGTACCAGGCTGTAAACATGTTTATTTCTGCTGTGAAATTGGTATTTTTAACATGGGAGTCAATGAGGATTTGCTCGCTTCTGACACCAGCCCCTAGTGGATGAGGGTGGAACTGCAGATTATTTCACTTCCTGTTTTACCCTCACTTCCAGAACCGAATTGTGGGGGCTTGCTTTTACCTTAGGTCTGATGATGCTAAAGACACACACGCACACACACACACATACATGCACACAC